TATAAAAATATAAATACTTCCAGTTTTATCTATTAATGCTAATGCTGGGCCATACGTATCAAATGAAACTAATTTTGATTTTCTAGGAAACTACGAGCTCTGCTAAACGTACTGCATTCATGTGTGTACACATAGCTTAGAGATAAGGATATTCCTTTCTTTCGCCACCTGCTCTACACAGAATAGCAAGATTAGTTTGACTCCTTCGTTCTCCTCATCGATGGCTCGTCAATCTCTGCACTCAAACTCTTTTTTTTTTTTTATAGCTTCTGCAGCTCTAGTGCTTTAAACTTTTGTATTTATATTGCAGCAAGCAAGCAAACAATTTGCCTAGTTTGCAATTGGTAGCCATTGTAGAGACTTTGCCTTAGCTGACATTTACGAGTATTTGCACAATAAACGTGGGCGGAGGCAAGTGAGCAACTCGGTCAAGTGCAGTCAGCTTGACGATGGGGAGCAGCGGTAACGACATTCAATAAAACGTTAGCTATTATTATGGGAGCACGCTCACACACACCCACACACACTCCAGACTAGCRCACACACAGACAGACACACATACACACATGCAAGCGTCTGGAGCTGCGCAAAATGAAATGCAATGAAATGAAATGAAAGAAGCGCACAGAAATATGCAATTTCACCTCAATCACAGCTGTAAAAAACAAACAAACAATGGGGCGAAGCACTGAGCTGAGCTGCACAGCAGGGTTTCGCCCTCATCTCCCGCCCTTACATCCCTTACACCCCTTGCAGCCCCCTGCTCGCCTGTCGCCCTCTCGCTCTAGCGCCCCCTTCGTAATGTGCCGTATCCTGCTTATCCCGGTCGTTATCGTCATGTGAGCCACATGCTGTTTGTTCAGCTCGCAGCTCGCAGCTCTCAGCTCGTAGCTCGTTCTTTTCATATCATTTTGCAGGTAAAGTTAAACGTAATTACTGGTCTGTGCTGTGTGCAGCTCTCCTGCCCCGTTTTGGCAGCGGAACAACCCATCTATTGCGCAATTGTGCAATGTATCATAGCGACGATAGACGATAGTCGAACCCACTTGCAATTCCAATCGCAACAAATTGCCAAACAGTGTCAGGTGTCAGGCATTTTGCAAAACACATTAAATCAATATTTTTGATCGACTTTTATCAGAAATTGCCATCAATAATATTATATTGTCAGCTGAGTTAAGAATCGAGTTTTGACTTTTTTTTAACGTTATTTAACACTTTAATTTGTCTGCGCTAGGCAAAATCTTTTAAATTTATATAAAGTTGATGTTTGTTCTTGATAAATATATACTTTACTTTTTTAATTTAAATTCATACTTTTGGTATATTTGTACAATACTAATTACCATTCATTTTTTATTTATTTATTTTTAATTTGTTATGTATACATCACAAAAGGCTTCTGATTTATATTGTAATATTTTTATTTAGAAAAT